AACAATTGTATACAAGCCAGTAGCAAGCTTGCCTTTTACTTACACAGTCACAGGTTTTCATTTTGCACCATTGCAAACCGTCCAGCTGCCAGCATCCTAACAATCAATTACAAAATTGGTTAAGGAGAACAGTGCCTGCACAGCATCCTTGTTTGCCTCTCCTTTGCCCCTCTCCATTGGCACTGGGGTCACATTAGCGAGGGAGAGAAACATTGCAATATTAGTCAGTACCAGTGTGCAAAAAGTGTATTTGCTTTGGAAGAATAGATCAGGTTGGGTGTCCTACCTGTTTGGATGATGCTACCATATGTAAAATTATTAGCTTCGTTTTTTACATTTTAGAATGGAGTGCCGCGAGATTGTGCAGAATTTTAAAGGGTGCCTTGACTGACAAAAGGTTGAGAGATACGGCTCTAAAGCACATTTTTATGTGTGTTCACACACTGCACCATGTGCTTGGGAAAAAAAAACACAACATTTAATTTAGAAAGAATCCAGCCAGACTAATGTACAACAGATTATTTAGGACTGAATTGGAAGAAGAAGCTGACAGAACAGGTCACATGTTTTTTTACAGCACGGTTCTTGAATATTACAGCTTTATAGTTGTAAATACTTTATACACTCACTGGCACTTTATTAGGTTCACCTGTTCAATTGCTTGGTAACACAAATTGCTAATCAGCTAATCACATGGTAGCAACTCAATGCATTTAGGTGTATAGATGTGGAGAAGACATCTTGCTGAAGTTCAAACTGAGCATCAGAATGGGGAAGAAAGGGGATTTAGGTGACTTTGAACGTGACATGGTTGTTGGTGCCAGAAGGGCTGGTCTGAGTATTTGAAACACTGCTGATCAACCGGGCTTTTCATGCACAAAAATCTCTAGGGTTTACAACGAATGGTCTGAAAAAGAGAAAATATCCAGTGAGTGGCAGTTGTGTGGACGAATATGCCTTGTTGATGTCAGAGGAGGATGGGCAGACTGGTTCGAGATGATAGGTTTCAGTAACTCAGTAAAGTATGGACCAAATTCTCTGGAATGTTTCCAACACCTTGTTGAATCTATGCCACAAAAAATTGAGGCAGTTCTGAAGGCAAAAGGGGGCCAACCCAGAACTAGGAAGGTGTACCTACAGTAATAAAGTGGCCGATGGCCATGCTTTCCCTTAGGAAAACCTAAAGTTGGTAAAAAAAAAAAATTAAAGTGACCGTGTAAAAATAAGTTTCAAATAAATTAATGAAATATAAAAATTAAAGCTCCCCCTCCCCCGCACTTACGAGCAAGCACGAATGCATACATAAGTCGCATAAGTCGTTCCCACATATGTTGTTCAACACACTTGTGAGGTATCATTGCGAATATTAGAGTGAGAGTAACTCTAAACTGGTAACCCATGTAACTCTAAACTGGTAGCCTGTAAAGCCTTTTAAATCATTGCCTATGAAGATTTTTAGGTACCGTAGTTTAGTGCCATTCCATGGGCGTGCACAATTTTAAAGCGTGACATGCCAGGTATCCATTTATTAAATGTTTCAATATCTTTTATATTTTAAAATAAAAGTGCTTGTGTGCAATATAATTCAATAAAGTGTATTTTTTCTATATAAAAAAAAAAAAACACTGCGTTTAAAAAACCACTGTGTGCAAATACCATGTGACAGAAACAATTTGAACACCCACCATTTTATTCTCTAGGGCCTTGGAAAAAAAAAATATATATATAATGTTTGGAGGTTCCAAGTAATTTTCTAACAAAAAAATACTGATTTTTGCATGTAGGAGAGAAATGTCAGAATTGGCCCAGTAGAAAGGTAGATAATAAAAAAAATAGAAAAATATTGGCCACTTAAATTGTGTGCAGCTACCAAATCGATGTTGTGTCCATGTGGCTTGGTCATAGGGAACTTGCAAATAATTTCTCTACCTTGGTGTGCTTGTTTTTTGTGCTTGTAAAGGTGTTGGCATGTTTCACTGCATGTAACCGTTTCAATATGTTACTGTCCTTTGAGTAAATTTTTCCCAGACAGAGCTGTTCCTTTTAAACAAAGTATCATCAGTTTAAAAGATTGAGGCAAATGGAAAGAATATGAACTCTGAGAATCTGACTGAGATAAGGTAAACCCAGGCAAGTTTCGCAGGCGGGGAAAAAACGTATTCTTCATAGTAAAAAAATGTTTAGGTTTTACCCCAGGCAACAGTTTGACCTACACATGACTTTTTCATCTAGCATTGTGGTATGCAGAGTAAAGAAGCAAAAGAAACCAAAGTGAAAAAAAGTTCTCAGATTATCATCTCTAGCTTACTCTGAAGGCCCACACTACCCTTTTTGAAAAGCCAAATTGTTATGTAAAGTTAATGGTTTTTGTGACTTTTTTTTTTTTTTTTTTTTTAACAACATAAACAAAAGAAACACTTTTTTTTTTTTTTTCCTCTGATTGAAGAAAATGTAACTAGATTTTTAGCGCACTCATACCAGCTAATAGATGGTTGAAAATGAAATGGCCTTGTTTTTAGGTGAGATACAGAGGTAGAAGCTGTTATTATCCTTTTTTCTACTTCTACAGGGAAGTCACCCAAGATTCATGGCTCATAATGAAACCTACGTCATTCATTATTTTATAATTATACTGTACATACTTTTGCTTTGACTGCTTTTGATTTTGGAAAGGATTGCATTTGATGCTGCATGCATTTAATTAGTTGTAGTCTCTTTATTGTACATTTATTTGATACCATGAGATTATATGAAAATTGACTTTTCAAAGTAGTGATTTTATTTTTGAATGTATTTAACCATTAGCCGCCCGGCCAATGGCCGTTTGGCGGCTGCAAAAGCGCTTCGGCATTCCGGGTGCACGCCATTTGGCGTGCTCCCGCACATGCGCAGTTTGCGCTCCTGCAGAGCCATGCAGCGGCGCGATCTGTCACCGGCCTTTTACCTCGGACACGGCCGATGACCGATCTGAGTACCGACCCCCCGTTGCTGGTACCATGTGACCTGCTGTGACCAATCACAGCAGGTCACATGACAGTTGTATACAATGGATGGCTTCATTCATGCCATCCATTGTATACTAGTGCCTAGCTGTGAATGGTCACAGCAGGTCACATGCACATGTCATGTGATTAGCTGTGACCAAATCACAGCTAAGCACAAAAAAAAAAACCTGAATGAATCGATTTCATTCTGGTAAATGCTTGCTTATAGCAAAGTAATTCTTTGCTATAAGCAAATTGTGTAAAAAAAAAAAAAAAAAAAATACTGATCGCTTCCCCAAAGTAGTACAATGTTACTATGGTAACATTGTACTACTTTGGTCATAGTGAAATATGAAAAAAAATCTGAAAAAAAAATAAAAAGAATGTAATAAAAAAAAAATAATAAAAAAAATTTAAAATATATATATTTTTTTTCATACTGTCACCAGTCAGTGTCTCTGATCACCGCCCTGCCAGTTATATGATGACGCTGTACTGCACTGGTGACCGTATGTAAAAAAAAAAAAAAATAGTGAAAATAATTTTTTTAATTTTATCATTTTCCAAAAAAATGATGACAAAAAATATACAACTTCAAAAAACTCGCCATTCCTCTTATGAAGTATGTTGGACTGTGTACTCTGCAAAAAGGGTTCATTTGGGGGATATCTGTACTATTCTGACATTCTTGGACCTCAAGAAATTAGATTGGCTGTCAGTACTTCAGGATTGATCAATATTCAGATCTATACCATAGTTTGTGAACTCTATAACTTTCCTACAAACTAAATAATACATCCTAATTTGGGTTATTTTCACCAAAGACATGTAGCAGAATACATCTCGGCCTAAATTTATAAAGAACAAAGAAAAACATGGGGTTTTTTTTCAAAATTTTTGGTCTTTTTTTGTTAATTTAGCAAAAAATAAAAACCCCAGCGGTGATTAAATACCACCAAAAGAAAGCTCTAGTTGTGTGAAGAAAATGATAAAATTTTAGTTTGGGTACAATGTTGTATGACCGCGCAATTGTCATTCAAAGTGTGACAGCGCTGAAACCTGAAAACTGGCCTGGGCAGGAAGGTGTAAAATTGCCCGGTATTGAAATGGTTAAATAATAACCTACCCCAGCAACGTTTGTTGAAAATGATCGTGCAGTATTTGATATGTTAGCAGCAGTCCTAGGCCAAACATGAGATACTTTAGTAGTGGAGGTTTTAGCTATGTGCCAACACACTAATAAAGTATGGACTCAGGACAAACTACAAAGACACACATGACCAGGTTACATATTTTTCAAAAAGTACAGTCTTTTTACAAGGCTTTTTTTATAGTTCTGTGAATGTTATAACCGTAGTTGTATATATTGTATGTGTATATTTGCACATAACTGCTTAGTGATACACCGAAAAGTTTCAGTGCTCTTTTCACATCTGATGAGATAGGAAATAGACTTAGACCTATTATACTAAGCTGAATGAGTAGTCATTAGCGAAACTATAATGGTTTTTGATATATGGGTATGATATGATATACTGTATATGCCACTTTTTCATTTTTGTTTAAACATTTACAAATAGGCTTCACTCTGTATGAAAAGTTTATCATACTGAATTTGCAGAGCTATTCATATATGGACTCTTTCTGATGCTTCATGCAAATCTGTAAGGTTTAGCAAAATTGGGGGGAGTATGCCTCCTCTGACTCGTCTAACCATGTTCTAAACAGAGCTGTACAGCAGTAGGTCCAATTCTTCTTTACAGCATAGAAGTAAAGAAGTGAAAACATTTGCATTCAGCAGACTGTAGCGCTCCACCTACTGGCTGTCTATGGTAAATATGACAATATGCAATATTGCAGTTATACAGCCTTGATGGAATTGAAAGATGTAACCTTCATTCCTAAACATAATAGAGAACATATGTAAAAACCTTAACTATATACTATACAATTCTTTTAAGCCTTGAAACTAATCATGTTTGTTTATATAGTTGGCCACTACAGTGTGTGTTGCAGAGCTGTATATATCATTCAAAATATACATGGGTGCACTATAGATTTCACTTGTGTCTTGAAAAGAGGCCAGGGAACAGCATTGCAGCAATGTTACAAGCAGGGGCGGACTGACAACTCATGGGGCCCCCGGGCAATAGGGGATCATGGGGCCCCTGTGTCCTTGCCCAAACTCAAAAAAGCCTATGAAAAAGGTACCAGGGGCATCTCATGGGGCCCCCTACTGACCCCGGGCCCTCAGGCAGTGCCCGAGTTTCCAAATGGTCAGTCCGCCCCTGGTTACAAGACATAGAATGGTAATCATAGTGTTTTTTTCCTGTTTACACTCTGTAGTAACCAGATCAATTTAAATATAGGTAATATTGTAGTATGGTTATGCTAAGCTCCTATTATTAGGAGACTAGTATACTTAAACAAAAAGTGTTCATTTAGATCTCTCAAATGCTCAGTTGTGAAATTTCCCTTTTGGAAGTCCCAGGCTCTACTGCTGTCATCCCAGCAATGGCGTCTTATTTCTCTTGCTACAAGTGGGGGGAAATGTTCTTTCTTTTACTAATTTAAATGAAACCTATTATAAGAGAAATATAGGAACTGCCATTGTTGACTTATATTTGAAGGTTTAAAGCTGTACTCCAGACAGAAATAAAAGGCGTAAATGAATGCAGCTCTGTATTCATTAATGAACCATTAAATGCAAATAGTATACAGTAAGTAGTTTAATATGACTCCATGTGACTCCGTGTTTTGCAATCCCCATATAGCAGACTGGTAGGGGTGAAGCAGCACAAGGAGCTAATAATTTGCAGCCAGATCGTTACCTTGTATTGGCACTTAGAAGTAGAGCTGACATCCTACTGACTCTTTCCTCCCCAATTACATCCATCTCCAGTCACTCTACTCTTATTTGCACCTGTTCTCTATCTCGGGGCTGGGCATGAATCACAAAAAAATCACAAGCGTTGAGCATCTCCTTAGAACACCAAACAGTCCAGGCCCTTCGGGACAGCTTTCCATTCCAGTGGCAGATGGCAGCTCTCCCATATTTGGATATCTACTTAACCCCAAATCTTGTATCGGCGATATTACCCACCACTATGTAAAACATTGTCTGAAGATCTACAGAGAGAGACTAAAAATCCTTCGTCTTGGTTTGGTAGGCTGAACTCACTTAAAATAAATATCTTACCACGGTTATTGTACTTATTCAGCACCCTACCAATTTCCCTTAACCTCCCTGATTTAAAGTAATTTCAACAAAAAATGATGACATATGTATGGGGTAGGGGGGCAGGAGGCCCTGGGTGAATAATCGTACCATACTCTCACCCAGAATGTTGGGCGGGCTGTGGGTTCCCGATCTACCCAGATATTTCCAGGCTGCTCAGCTGGCACTGCTAATCTCATTTCACACTCAACAGCCGCCCGCTGTGGATGCAGCTAGAATCATGTATCTTACCCACGAGACCAGTCACCCACCTACTATTGCTATCGGCCAAAGACCAGCCCCCAACTATTTGTCCCACACTTTTCTTTTCCCTTGGCCTGTGGGAGGCTGACCCAGTAACACAACTTCAGATTGGCTCATACCCCCCTGCCCCCCCCCCCACCCCACTGGAGAACTCTAGCTTCACCCTGGGTGTCATGCCCCAAAATTTTATATGATGGACCAGTAAGGGCCTCCTGCATTTAGAAGACCATTATGATCATAGAGGCGTCTTGCCCGTGCACTACTTTCGGGAAAAATATGATGCAGGCCACCAAAATTTTCTATTTTACTCAAATCTCACATTATATCCACTCCCTGAAAAAGGTATCAGACCTTTCCATGTCTATGGTATACTTGTGCAAAAATATTGATAAGCAATCTGGTTGAATTTCACTGCTATATAATATCCTGTCCTCCAGTGACACCAAATTGTCATACATGGAAAGATGGGAACAAAACATGGATGAAGCTGATATTACAGGATGGCACAAATTGGCCCAGAGAACCTCTGCGTCAATAATTAACTTTCCTAATTGAAGCCAATTATAAAGTGTTGCTGAGGTGGTGTCTAGTCCCGGCCAGGGTGGCTTGTTGGGTACTGGGGGCATCACCCCTTTGTTTCAGAGGATGTGGAGAAGCAGGCATGGCATATCGTATTTGATAGGCCTGCCTGTAGGTCCGCCAGTTCTGGCTTTGTATTTATAACTATCTGTTTCCTCACGGGAATCAACCTAATTAAATCCTCCAGATAGGCACTGCTTGGTCATCCTGCGGAGGGAGCCCCTAGGCCCACACAGCACCTAATAATGTTCCTTCTCGCAGCAGCAAGAATCACTGTAGCCAGATTCTAAAAATCCCCCGCAATACCTCTAGAGCTCCTGAAAACAAAATTATGGATTATGTAGAAATCGTGCCTCTCAGCTATTCTACAAGATAAAATACCCCTGTTCGAGAAAACATGGGACCCCTGGATTAAGTACCTGAGGGGCAATACTACTTAACCCGAAACACACGATCGGCCACTGTAGGTACTCGCTGGCATGTCCCCCTCCATATCTCTCTACTATCTTTTCTTGCTTTTACCATTTATTTCCTTGTATTTCTTTCTTCTCTACCTCGGCTCTTCAACCTGCTCGGAAGAGCCTCCCTGAATTTAATTCTCCCCGACTGAGGAGACAGACAATAGCTTTGAAGAATCACATTGTTTATCTGTTTTTTTTTGCAATTACGGCATTTGGGGACTCCCTGGTCGGGCCCATCCGCCCATTTGCTTAACATTCATTCAGTATGTATTTGATACCTGTTTGCATGTTTTATTGGAATGTAGCACATACCTGCGGTCTTATACAGCTTATAAGGTCAGCTGCTCATTGTGGTACTTTTGCCTTCCCTTTATGTAAAGTGCTGTGCATAGGTAGCCATTGTAGTCAATATTGTTGTTCATTTGTTATTTATATAACCTACCCCAGCAACATTGGTTGAAAAAGATCATGCAGTATTTGATATGATAGTGTTGATGCTAGATATTTTAGACATTGTGAATTATAAATACAGGTTCATTCGCCTGTTTTTTTTTTTTTTTTTTTTAGTTTTTTTTTTTTTTTTCCTCACTTGATCATTTTCTGAACAGTGATCCACAGGTGACTGCTTTTCAGAGTGTGACTAAGAAGACACTGTCAGGTTCAGGAGACCAGCCTGCTACCTCCTGAATACCTGTGGTTTTTTTGTATTGCCAAACAGCAATTTTCAGTGGAACTAATGTGCCTCAACCACAAGCCAAGTGGTTGTTGTACTGTAGCTGCAATTTTCTGCATCAAATACATGTGTGAGCAGCTATAGATCTACAGAAGAGCACAGAATCCTCTGTTGTGAATGGGTTGGTAAATTCAATTCAAATTCAAAGCACAGCCCTAGGCTGTCTTGTAGATATCTGTAATGCTTGTGTTACATTTGGATATTTTATCTACATGCGTTCTAGTTCAAAGTATATATTATAAACATTGATCATTTGCATATGATGGTGGTTTGCATGTATTTTGTGTGCACTGCCAGAGATGCTTTGTTACATAAGACATGCATGTATAATAAACATGCACAGTGCTGTTATTACAGGAAATTCTAGCATTAATGTATAAATATCACTTTCCTTAAAAGTAGGAAATATTTGCTTTCTCTCTGCTAAAGCACGTGTAACAGTTGCAGTTACAATTTTACATTTGTGTTCTATTTGCATAGCTAACAGAGCTCATTAATAACCCTATGGCATGCACACTTCCTTTCCTTTTACTTAACAGGGGATTTCAACATTGCAGTCAATAAAAATAATTCCTGTATCACATGCCAGCTGCTCTCAGTGGGGCAGCCCTCATAAACGCACACACTTTAATGCACAATATTGCTGTGTTTACTTAATTGCATGGTGTAAGGCAAAGTATTTGTCCAGTATTTTTATTCTGTATGGGTAGCTTTCCTATAGTAGGGATACCCCTGTAGTAAGGTGAGCATCATCAACAGCCGCTTAGTCTCTGCTGCATAGTATGACAAGCAAGCCAGTATTTTTCAGGGGTACTCACTTACTGATTTTTACCCCAAGGACATTTCATTTCATCTGTGTTGGATTGCTTCCTTTTTCCTCCTAAAAGAATTACAACTTTTAGCAGGTAAACTGGTTATCTGAACAAAAGATTGTCCTCCTATAAGAGCAAATTGTATAGGACCTTTTATTTAACGTGATTCACATCTACAGTCCATTGGAAATTAATCTGCTCTTTCTTTCTCTGCAATCCATAGCGATTTTTGTGAATACGTTTGCCATTTTAATTAGTAGTTGCAGTGGTAGTAATATTATTATTATACAGTATTTATAAAGCGCCAATAGTTCGCTCAGCGCTGTACATTACAAAGGGGGACAGAACATGTGACAGAACAATAACAATACAATGCAAAACATGAGGGGATTGAGGGCCCTGCTCTTTGGAGCTTACAATCCTAGGAGGGAGGGGATGGCGGTACAGGAGGAGATAGCTGTGGGGGATGGAGTGGTAGGAAGAGTGGAGGAGGTCGGTCAAGTTAGCAGGGGGTGGGGTAGGCTTCCCTGAAGAGATGGGTTTTCAGGGTACGCCTAAAGGAGAGGAGAGTAGGTGATAATCTGATGGGCTGGGGCAGGGAGTTCCAGAGGATGGGTGACACCCTGGAGAAGTCCTGGAGGCGGGCATGGGAGGAGGAGACCAGGGAACTAGAGAGAAGGAGGTCTTGTGAGGAGCGGAGTGTGCGTGCTGAGCGGTACTTGGATATTAGGTCAGTGATGTAGTTTGGGGCAGTATGGTGGACGGCTTTGTACGTCAATGTTAGGATTTTGAATTTGAGCCAGTGGAGGGATTGGCAGAGGGGGGGGTGGTGGAAACGGAGCGGATAGAAAGGTGAATGAATTTTGCAGCCGTATTCAGGATCGACTGAAGCGGGGATAGCTAGCGGCGAGGAAGGCCAGTGAGGCCAGTAATAGGTAATATAGCATTAGTATTGATTGCAAAATTAATACCTTTTTAATAGCTGTTAGCTTAAAACTAAATGTACTTATTTACTGCTCATTTTATATTCTGTTTTAAGTTTATGTATACCTGAACAATGAGCTTCTCCTATTTGTTCCCTTGGTAATATACTGCCGAAAGAGCTTTGTTCTATCTGTTCAATAAGTGCAAAAGAAAATTTCCAGAAATCGAGCGCTCTTCTTTGTACTGTGTAGTGCTATATCAAACAATGTTATGAGAAGGTTTTAGGGCTACAAAACATCTC